TTTAACGCCTCCTCAGAAAAGGTTGGAAGAGAAGGCAAATGACCCACTGTCATGGTCCCAAGCAAATTGCTCGGGATGCTCTGATCGAGACTCGGGGTACCGGAATCAACCCCGACCGGTACAGCTGCCATCGGCTCAGAAGCTCTGGCGACCTCGATAGCTTTCGCAGATCGGATCACTAAAGCCGAGGCATCATCTCTTTTTCTTCTTCTTCTTCCCTCAGTCGTTGGACCGAGTCCATCGAAAGAGCAATTGCCTTCCTCCTCACCCTTCGAGTTTTGGGCTTGGGGTCCTCTGGCCTAGGGACAGCTTTTCGCTTCTTATCTTTCCCCGGTTCCGGGACCGGGGACTTGGTTCCTTCTTCACCACTCGAAGGCCTCAAAACGGCATCCTTGGTCACACCTGCATGAAAGGAAATCGGTGACGAATGGAGCATAAAAAATATTTCGAAGAACACGAGAAGCAACCCTTACCATGATTCTTGGCCTCCCATCTACCTTTTGCCAAATCACGCCAAGCACGTTCGGTATAAGAGGAAGTCGAGGCTAACTTCCGAACCCAATCCTCGAGGTCGGGTACCGCTTGTGGCATCCAAGGGGCAGTTGTATATCGGAGAAAGACATCAGATAAAATCGAAAAAAGATTCGAAAAGCAACGTCTTATGAAAACCACTTACGGTCGAAATTCCATTCCTCGGGGAGCGACATTTTCTCTTCCGAAATGAGGTCACGGGTCCTCACTCGGATATAACGGCCCATCCAACCCCGGTCCTTGTCTTCGTCGATGCTCGACATCAAAGCCTTTGATGCCCGACGATGAAGCCTGATTAGTCCTCGAAAGATTTGAGGCCGATACAGTCATATGAGGTGATTCAGGGAAAATTCCAGCCCCCCGGCCTTGTTGGAGAAGAAGCGAAGTAAGGTTACTATACGCCATAGAGAGGGATGAATTTGACCAAGGGTGACCTGATATCTCTTGCAAAAATCGATGATCACCGGGTCGACGGGACCCAAGGTGAAGGGGTAAGTGTAAACACTTAAAAACCCCTCCACATGGATGATGACGCTCTCTTCGGGGGAGGGAATTTGTAACACAACCTCGGGACCCCAGTTGCAGTCTTTCCTCACAGCCTCGAGATTACCCTCCGTTATCGAGCACATGTACATCGACACATGCTCACATCGACCCGGAACAGATGAAGGATTCTCAACCTTAAAATCGATCTTCAGAATACACGGGCCGGGAACATACTCATAGGTAGGCGGCTCCACCGGCGCCTTGTCGTCGGACGGTCATGAAGAAGAAGCTTTCTCCTTCTGAGGTATAGTTTTCGAAGTTTTGGCCATTGATACAAGAGAAAGAAAGGCAAAGGAAGATGAAAAATTGATGCAGATGGCTCTGCAAGCGGCGGAATAGAGAGAAAGGGTAAGAAAATTTGGAAGAGTGAAAGATGTAAAAGTGGTAAATGTTAGATGGAGGGGTTATTTATAGGCTTGCATCGTGACGGTTCAATATCAGAGGTGGCCGACCACCGTTCGACATGCATTAAATACCTTGAAAAGACTAAATCGATGGGACAACTATCACATACGTCATGATCGAACCCTGTGAAAACGCCAGCTTATAACCCGATCGAACCGTCGAAGATCATATCGATTCTCACCACATCCTTACTGAGAAACGAGGGGACTATCTGTATACGGTCGAAATAGATTTCGGCCTTCCTACGTTCGATCGAGTTCGAATGGTAAGCAACAGGAGTGGGATTTTGGGATGAGTTCCAAAGGCAGTACAAACGAGCCTCGAGTCCGAAGGCTGATCGAGGAGTCGGCTCGATACTTTTATCGAGCCCGTGACCAAATCAGTCCGCAAGACATTGCTTCGAGGTCAGAAATGC